ACTTGTTTGCGATCGCATTACACAGTTTTCTATAGAAAACTTGTTTGCGATCGCATTACACAGTTTTCTATAGAAAACTTGTTTGCGATCGCATTACACAGTTTTCTATAGAAAACTTGTTTGCGATCGCATTACACAGTTTTCTATAGAAAACTTGTTTGCGATCGCATTACACAGTTTTCTATAGAAAACTTGTTTGCGATCGCATTACACAGTTTTCTATAGAAAACTTGTTTGCGATCGCATTACACAGTTTTCTATAGAAAACTTGTTTGCGATCGCATTACACAGTTTTCTATAGAAAACTTGTTTGCGATCGCATTACACAGTTTTCTATAGAAAACTTGTTTGCGATCGCATTACACAGTTTTCTATAGAAAACTTGTTTGCGATCGCATTACACAGTTTTCTATAGAAAACTTGTTTGCGATCGCATTACACAGTTTTCTATAGAAAACTTGTTTGCGATCGCATTACACAGTTTTCTATAGAAAACTTGTTTGCGATCGCATTACACAGTTTTCTATAGAAAACTTGTTTGCGATCGCATTACACAGTTTTCTATAGAAAACTTGTTTGCGATCGCATTACACAGTTTTCTATAGAAAACTTGTTTGCGATCGCATTACACAGTTTTCTATAGAAAACTTGTTTGCGATCGCATTACACAGTTTTCTATAGAAAACTTGTTTGCGATCGCATTACACAGTTTTCTTTAGAAAACTTGTTTGCGATCGCATTACACAGTTTTCTATAGAAAACTTGTTTGCGATCGCATTACACAGTTTTCTATAGAAAACTTGTTTGCGATCGCATTACACAGTTTTCTATAGAAAACTTGTTTGCGATCGCATTACACAGTTTTCTATAGAAAACTTGTTTGCGATCGCATTACATAGTTTTCTATAGAAAACTTGTTTGCGATCGCATTACATAGTTTTCTATAGAAAACTTGTTTGCGATCGCATTACACAGTTTTCTATAGAAAACTTGTTTGCGATCGCATTACACAATTTTCTATAGAAAACTTGTTTGCGATCGCATTACACAGTTTTCTATAGAAAACTTGTTTGCGATCGCATTACACAGTTTTCTATAGAAAACTTGTTTGCGATCGCATTACACAGTTTTCTATAGAAAACTTGTTTGCGATCGCATTACACAGTTTTCTATAGAAAACTTGTTTGCGATCGCATTACACAGTTTTCTATAGAAAACTTGTTTGCGATCGCATTACACAGTTTTCTATAGAAAACTTGTTTGCGATCGCATTACACAGTTTTCTATAGAAAACTTGTTTGCGATCGCATTACACAGTTTTCTATAGAAAACTTGTTTGCGATCGCATTACACAGTTTTCTATAGAAAACTTGTTTGCGATCGCATTACATAGTTTTCTATAGAAAACTTGTTTGCGATCGCATTACACAGTTTTCTATAGAAAACTTGTTTGCGATCGCATTACACAGTTTTCTATAGAAAACTTGTTTGCGATCGCATTACACAGTTTTCTATAGAAAACTTCTTTGCGATCGCATTACACAGTTTTCTATAGAAAACTTCTTTGCGATCGCATTACACAGTTTTCTATAGAAAACTTGTTTGCAGATCTCTGATCAGTTTTCTCTATACAATTTTGTTGCGATCACTGTCCAAAACGCTTATATATACTGTAGGGTACAGTCTTTGGTATGTGTGCCGTTGGCTGCCACCACAAATACCACCTATTCAATTCAGCAAGTCAGCTCATAAGTCTCTTTCATTTGCACAAAACCTTCTAAACAATTGTTAATATATTATGGCGGTTTTTTATTTTGGATTTTGTGTTGTTTTCTTTTGGTTGGTTTGCAAGTTGGAATTTTAATTTTTTTGTTTTAATGGGTGGTTTAGAAGAAAAAAAATGTGTAAAAATATTTATGAAATACTTTAAAAGGTGATATAGAAACAAATTTTAAAATATTTTTTTGGTTAAAAAGTTTGGTATTAGAAGGACATGGTGTGTGTTTGTGTAATTGATTTATGGATAATAAAATACATGTGGGCTATAAATAAATTTCGTAAATGTTTAATAAATATATTTCAAGGGAATTTAAAAATATTCAAACTATTGTAAGAATTGAGCTAAGATTAGAATCCTGCTTCATTTGTTACAAATATTCTAAAATATTTCTCAATTACCTTAAATGTAGGCAGCCATGGAATACAAGTCCATAAGTCAAATTTAAAATAAAAATTTAAAACCATTTGTGTTTTAATTTCAACATAAAAATGTCATGATTTTAAGAAAAAATTTGTTAAAAAACTACCTGCTGAAACCCCGCATCAACAAATTCAACTTCTGTTTTTGATTTATAAAAAATAAACCAAAAAGAATTCATTACAATAAGTTGAAAAAATGCAATATTTTTATTTATTTAAACGAGAGAGAGACAAACAATATTCGCTCAGCGATGTTGATTAATTGATGTGCTACTGCTGTGACTACTGAACGGGGGTACACTACATTTGGTCGATAAGGTTGCATTAATATTATGTTTTTAATAAATTTGGTGAGATCTTATATAAAATTATTACGATTGTTGATCTTTTGATTTCTTTTCCTTAGAAAATTCTGACGATCGCGGATCAGTTTTCTAGAGGGTATCGATCGATCAGTTTTCTTTGGGAAATTTCAGAGATGGCTGATCAGTTTTCTGGCAGATAGCTTTTCTTTGCGGTGATCGTTTAGTAAAAAATAGTGCAATCGAAGATAATTTTTCTTTAGAAAATTACAGAAAACTGTAACGATCAGTGTTGCGCAGAAAATTCTAACGATCGAAGATTAGTTTTCTGTAGAAAATTGTTTCGCGGAAGATTTCCGCGATCGAAATTCTTACGATCGCATATACATTTTCCAAAAGATATTAAGATCGCAGATCAGTTTTCTACGGAAAGTTGAAGCGTTTGCAGATCAGTTTTCTAAAGAAAATTTTTGCGATCACAAATCAGTTTTCTCTAAGAAATTGTTCCGCGGAAGATTTCCGCGATCGAAATTCTTACGATCGCATATAAATTTTCCAAAAGACATTAAGATCGCAGATCATTTTCTACGGAAAATTATAACGTTTGCAGATCAGTTTTCTATAGAAATTTTTTGCGATCGCAGATCAGTTTTCTGTAGAAAATTGTTCTGCGGAAGATTTCCGCGATCGAAATTGTAACGATCGCATATACATTTTCCAAAAGATATTAAGATCGCAGATCAGTTTTCTACGGAAAGTTGTAGCGTTTGCAGATCAGTTTTCTATAGAAAATTTTTGCGATCGCAAATCAGTTTTCTTCAGAAAATTATAACGTTCAGATTTCTACAGATAATTAAATTATTATGATCAGTTTTATACAGAAATTTGTAGCGTTCGCTGATCATTTTTCTACAAGAAATTTTCTATAGAAAATTGTTGCAATTGCAGAACAGTTTTCTTAAAAAAAATTGTCATTGCAGATCTGTTTTCTGTGGAAAATTGTTCCAATCGGAAATTAGTTTTTTGCGGAAGATTTCTGCGATCGAAATTGTTACGATCGCATATAAATTTTCCAAAAGATTTTAAGATCGCAGATCAGTTTTCTACGGAAAATTGTAGCGTTTGCAGATCAGTTTTCAAATCTTTTTTAAAGAAAATTTTAGCGATCGCAGATCAGTTTTCTGCCATTGCAGAAAAGTTTTTTAAAAATCTGCTGATCAGTTTTGTACATAAAATAGAAAATTTCTACGATCGCGAATAAGTTTTCTATAAAAAATAGTGTGATCGCAGATCAGTTCCCTATGGAGATTTGTTGCGATCAACGATCACTCTTCTGTACATAATTGTTGCGATCGCTATGCAGATTTTCTAGAAAATTGGTCCTTTTTTGAAAACGATTCAATTAATACCGATCACAAATCAGTTTTCTGAAGAAAATTGTGAGATCGCTGAAATGTCTAGAGAGATCAATAGTATCGATCTGACTTCTGTCGAAAATTGTATGATCGATCTATAGACTGTTTTGTGATCGATTTTCCTATTTCTAATGAAAAGTGGAATGTAGTTAATTCTACATTCCATAGATTTTCTGTTAAAAGTTATGCAATTCCTGGGGAATATGTGAGATTGATCTTTTTTCAGAAGAAATTTTTAGATTGTTCTCTTTCCTATAGGAAAGATTATTAAACTTTGTATAGAAAAAGTTGTGAGATCTATAAATTTTGTATAGAAAAATGTGAGATCTAACAGTTTCTGGAAGCAAAATTGTTAACTCTATCAGTTTTTTGTAGTAAATTTTAAAATCGATCAGTTTTTTTTTTTAAACAAATATAAAGATCGACCAGTTTTTTAAAGACTATATAGAGATCAATCAGTTTATAAAGAAAATTTTGAAATTGATCAGTTTCCATTAAAAAACTAAGGAGTAACATAAGTTTCTTACAAAAAATTTTAGGATCTATCAGTTTTCAGAAAATGTTATGTGATCGATCTGTTTTTGTGCGATCATTCTTTGTGCAATCATTGTTAAGTATCTTCTAGTTAGTTCCAGCTAAATAATTTATCTTATTTTTTTATTTTATTTACTTTAATTTAAAAGTTTTTGTTTTTATTGAATTTATAAAAAAAATATTATTGTTTAATTTAAATGACGTTGAAAAATAACAATACGCCATATTTGTTTGTATCCAAGTAGGTTTGACGAATGGATGTATTGTCATTACTCATTCAATGCTTAATTCATGCATTTATGCATGACGAATTATTTTAAATAAAATTTCGAGTTATTTATATGATTTTTTTGTTCTTTGTTCCTTATACTCATGCAAATATTCCAAGCTACTAGACGAGACGATATCAAATTCAACGTGTTAAGAATGGGAAATGTAGTGGAAAGAGTAAAAGAAACAGGGGAACTTGATAACAGAAAGATATATACATTTTATATAGCTTCTTTCAAATAATTGTATACTAATGCCGATTTTATTTCTTCTTTTTCAGATGGTTACGAGCACTTGAACACTGTTTCCTCTACTACCTATCGTCCTATACGATCCTCAATAACACCTTCACTTACTTCGGCCCAAGAACGGGAGAGACGTCTTATGCATGTGTTAGCGGCACGACGCAGTGCCCTACAGCGTCCTGGTTTCCGTAATCGTATTGGCACCACTGGACGTACAGCAACAGCTGTTGAAACAACCTCAAAATCACCCACCGATCCACGATCAATTTGCATACGAAATTGTACGAAAAATTTCACAAGACGAACCACAGCCAGCTGTATGAGACAATGTGCGAACTTTTCAAGAGTAGCTTCTAATATACCCGGATCCTCGACAGTGGTAGTAAAAAATTCCTCAAAATCTGGAACGGGAACGGCTCAAGCGGGAGAGAGGGATACTAATGAAATCTTATTTACCGACGAATCTTCACATGGCCTATTGGTCATAGCGAAAGAACAAAATGATACTTTGAATCATATACCAGATGAAAATAAAGGTGGCACAGTGGCCAAACTGAGGGGAAGACGTAAGCCGCAAGCCCAAATAGGTACGGTAACTTTGGCCACCACCTCCATAGAAGATGATGAAATACAACCTTATTTGTATTTTGGACAAAAGTTGCCACCTTTAAAACCCAATTCCTTAACCATTACCGCGATAAGTGATGACCACCCCAAGCTATTGGAGGTGTCAGTAGCAGATGTTGAACCTTCCTCAACCACACCAGTAAGTTTAACTTCCGCCTCTACTCTATCAGCGGTGGAAAGAAGTCGCGCTCGTTTCAAATATAACATGAGAAACGGAGTAAGTTTTAATCGCAGATATACCAACATAAATAGATCTACTACTCCGGAAGTACCTACCGAACCCAGAACTACTACTTTGAGAATAGTAGCCGAAGTGGTGAAGGAGCCTAAAGTTAAGATAGCCTCATTTTTGGAAAAGATACGTGATTCTACATCACCTAGACCTTTTACAGAAGCTTTGAGGGATGAACAAGTATTTTCACCATCAACACCTTTGATAATAACAGTATTAAGTGATGAAGATATGGTAACACCCACACCGGACTCTGGAGTGGTATTTACCACAAAACAGGAGTCAACGAAAGTAGCTACCACTTTACCCACAACAACTGCCACACAACCAACAACAACCACCAGCACTACAACGACTACCACAACAACAAGAAAACCAACTACAACTACTACCACAGCGGCACCTACAACTACAACAGCTGCTACTACAACAACTACTAGCACCACCACAGCAGCCACTACCACAACTACTATGCCAACTACGACGACAACCACGACCACACCAGTTCCTGAACCATATCAGCAGCCTCCTGCCACTACAGCTAAAACCACTACCCCAACAACTACTACTACCAGCACTACAACAACCACTACTACACCGTCACCTCCTGCTACTCCTGCTGATATCACCACCTACAAACCCCTTATCAGCGATGAAGAGGCCGAAGTTTTAAGACAATTGGGTCCCAGTCTAACACAACCCATTAACACAGACGACCGAACGAATCTTATAATATTTGTTAATCGAACCACAGACACCTATCGACCTAATCGCTTCACAACCACAACAACCCCCAAACCTTATCAATCTATAATACCAGCCTATTCACCTCAAGCAGCGACAACCGATTCCTCGACAACTATTCTACATACCACCATCTTAACTTCGATAAGATCGACAGTAAATACTCGTAAAGAAATTAATAACTTTTATACCACCACTCCACTGCCCACGGCTAGTTCACAAAAGGGACCTTTGTTAAATAATGAAATGACACCCTCCTCTACCACCCTACAGCCGGTGATAACTGGCGAAATAAGCTCGACAGTGGTGACCGATGATCAAGAGATTTCTTTGGAAATGCAACGCATGAATGTTGTTACCATGGTCTTGGCGGGTATAGGCATTGTTCCACTACTGGCCATTATTCTATATCTATTACGCAACTATCTGCTAAAACGACCCATTAAAGATGATGAAGATTTTGATGTTTGCATCACAGATCAACAGCCTATAAGTCCAGTGAAAAAAATCGATTCGAAATATCAAGAAGAGGATGAAGATGAGGTGGATCATCATAAAAAACTGCCGCAGAGACAACATAGTCTACACAGTAAATTGGTATCGGCTCCTATGGCGCGTGATAATAATCATAATGTGACCTTAAGCCAGCAGCAGCGTTATGATGATAAAAGTTCGGTGTCCAGTGATCAAGAATTCGAACGTACTAATATACGTTTAAAGAGCCTTCTGGGAGAGGGTAATTTTGGTCAGGTTTGGAAAGCGGAAGCTGATGATTTAAGTGGTCATTTTGGTGCGACACGCATCGTAGCTGTCAAGACCATTAAGGCTTGTAGCACCCAGTTGAGTCTTAAGGATGAGGCGAATATTATGCGTAAATTGGGTTCCCATCAGAATGTGGTTACATTGCTGGGAGCTTGTGTGGATTCGGGTAAGTAGTGGCTTTATATTTAATTGGAATTTTTTTATTGATTTGTTGTTTTCTTCTTCCAGAACCTCATATGTTGATTATGGAATATGCCATGCGTGGTCGTTTGTTATCTTTGCTGAGGGCAGCTCGCAATGCTACCAACATTTTACCGGCCTCTGTCCCAGGTGGCAGAAGTCTGACCCCTTTGTCTCCTCGTACCTTGGCTGGTTTTTGTTTGGATATAGCTCGTGGCATGGAATATATTGCTGAGAAGAGAGTGAGTATTGATTGCGGAAAGATTTTGTTTTTATGCTTAGGGTGGTTCAGGAACTGTAACATATTTCCAATTTTATGATAAAGTGATCAATGTCATATTAAAACACTAAGTAAGATAGTTCCAAAACAGAATACTTTACATTTTAAAGGACCAATCATGAAGTTAAAAAGAATATCCTTTTAGCTCTCCTTTACTTCTCTCTGGCAGTTGAAAATCTTACGGAAGATCTTGTGTTCAAAAACACTTAATTGAAGATTTTATGATTTGAAAAAGAGCACATTTCTATAAGGTTGGGCTCCCCTTCATGTGATATCATAGAAGAAATATTCGTCCAAAAAAGTATTCAAATAGGAAGTACTTGGGACCTTCAGAGTATATAAGCAGACATAAAGATATGAGAAGCAGTTGAAGATAAATGTATATGGATCGTTACTATATTCTATAGGATAGACCAAAAGAAGATAGGATAGACCAAAGAATTGATATTCTGGAAAGAATTTCACTTAGAATTGCTCTAGGTTGAAACAAAGGCATTGAATTATTAAAATATTTGATTCTTTATAGTTTTAGGTTTTAGAAACAAAAGATAGTCACTTAATTGAGTAGCTCACGTGGGTCCACCTTATTGTGGTACCATTGTGATACCTTAACGGTCGTATAAGTCCTTTTATAATACTATTCACTACTTCAACGATTTAAACCAACCGTTTCGATTTACAAAGTTTAGGATGTTCTTAAGATTTATGATAGGTAACTCCTCCAAATTATTGTTTCCTGCTCTCAGTGAGTGTCGGACGGGAGCAGAGAAGATACAGTCTCCACTTCGTCCTCGTTACGACAATTTCTACAGTAATCATTGTATGCGAGATTCATTCTCCTGGCATAAGTTACAAGCTTACTGTTCAACTGTTCGCTAAGCAATCTGATTTGAGCCATTTCATATAGAGAAAATTCTATACCAAACAATTCTCTAAGGCTTGGCTTCTCCTTCGTAACTAGACTAGGTGTGGATTATAAAGGGAATTTCACTTCATATATAATTACTTTAGGGTTGTTGAAACAAGGCTGTTTTATCAATGGTCTTCTTATGAAAATTTTTCATGTCATTGACTCGGGGTAGAAGAAAAAGGATCACATCTCAGTCATGTTTGACTTCTTTCTTCAGAGACATTCCAAGAGAATCTATACGATTAGAGAGCAGTTATGTCTTGAATGAAACTTGACGTCATAGAAGCAAGGACGAAAACTTGATTCGTGAATTGCTCTAAACCGATGAATCGATCGTTTTCCAATAAGCATTTTCAAAATTATCGTTTATTTATATATTTAAAAAAGTGATAGTTTTACTAAAAAAGAAATATCTGAAAGAATATCTGAACCGTTATTGGATCTTATATGCTGTTCTCATAAAAAAATATTTAATCCTGCTAGCGATTATAGTTGAAAATACTTTATTTCGTGAGATTGCTCGATAAAGATCATATTAAACTTTTTTCTCTGACATTCCCTTCCTCTGGTAGTGTGGAAGTTTGAGATATCAGATATTTGGATGCAAACAAGATCATGCATGAAGATTATACTGGTTTCAAAAAGTTATCTCTATCTGGTGATGTAAGGTAGGTAGGTAGGTCGATAGGAGGATGTATATTACATCAAATCCGAAGAAATACACCGGACCTGTTGTGCGCTCCTTATCATGAATAAAAAAAACTGAAAGAATTATTTTTCAGTGTTCAGAAACTCAGTTTCCTGAACGTAATTCCTAAGAATCTTCCAATCAGTGTTAGTCAGGAATGTTATTTCCGGAATAACATCACTTCCAAGATACTTGGATCTAACTTCGACGAATACCTGGCAGTGGCAAAGAAAGTGCTCCAGAGTTTTACTGTCCTCTCCACATGCTCTACATTCGTCTGAATCCGCACGTCCAATTTTGCATAGATGTGCTCGTAGTCCTGTGTGTCCACTCAGAATACGTACCATCATACTAACTTCAGACTTGCTCATTTTGAGGAGATTTTTCGTCTTGCTCTCATCAGGGTCACCCCATAGGATCTTCGTAGTCTACCCACCGTTTCATTATTCCAAGAGGCCTTATGGGATTCTCTCACCCATATTTTTAGTTCAGCTTTTGTTGCGTCGAATGGTTTTGCGTTTGTCAGGTTAACTGCCTCGAGCTCCCTTCCCTTTAAAGCTATTACATTCGCCCTTTCGTTACCGACTACTCCCGAGTGGGCTGATACCCATATGATGTAAACCTTACCTCTGGGAGAGTATTCAGTTAAAGCTTTCTTACAATCCATCTGGCGATGTAAAGATAATTTAAATTCAAATCTGATTCAAACAAGGTCATTTGGATCCACATAAGCTTAAATGGATGATCAAACTTATTTAGCAACTTTGTCTCGTGTGACGTATAAAGATCTTTAGATCTTAACAAGATTGTCTAATCAATGATATCACTTGAGTGTAAGTTTGTCACCACATATCTACTTCAATAGTTTGTATACAAACAAGATCATGTATATAGATTACACTGGTTTCAAAAAGTTATCTCTATCTGCTGATGTAAAGATAATTTCAACTAAAATCTGATTCAAACAAGGTCAATTGGATCCATACAAGATCATGTGGACTGTTAAACACTGTCTTCTTCAGGTGACGTAAAGAGAATAGAATATTTTTCTTGTTGAGGTAATTTTGATCTTGTTTAAGGTAATCTCTCTTCTAGATCATTAATTAAGTACTATAGGGTCCTTTTAACAGTTTTAAATTCAAAACTCTTCGAACCTTTCAATGGAGATGTGAAAACATATCCAAACAGGATCATTTGGTTTCATTTGATAAGGAGTTCGTTAGTTCGAATAAACATATATCTCATACAAACATATCTTAATATTTACACATTTCACTTTGTTTCCAAATTTCCCATTCCAGATTGTTCATCGTGATCTAGCAGCCCGTAATGTTTTACTCGATCATAACGGTGTTTGTAAAATCTGTGATTTTGGTATGTCCATAGATTTGGATGCCGAACGCAAACGAAAAGAGCTAGAAAAGAATTGTGCAAATGAAATAATGCGCAGTAATTTTAATAAATTCAAATTTGATTTTGGACAGAAATTCATAATGAATCATTGGCAAGGATCGCCAAAAGATTGTAGTGAAAAGAAATCACATGGACATGATACCATAGGTAAGAGGCCAGCATTACCCATTAGATGGATGGCACCGGAAGCATTGCAATATAATATATTCAGTACTGAAACGGATATATGGGCATTTGGAATAGTATTGTGGGAAATAGCAACATTGGGTAAGTAATTAATGGGAATAAGAAATTCTTAAGTTAATCGTTTTCTTTAACTCGCACTAGGATCTACGCCTTATTCCCAAATAACGGGACGTGAAGTTATACGGCGAGTACCACAAGGTTTACGACCCGATTTACCCAAAGAGGGTCGTCATGAGTTTTATAACTTAATGTCACGCTGCTGGCATAAGGATCCCCATATGCGTCCCAGTTTTTGCCAGTGTAGATTGGAGATATCACGTTCTTTGCACAAATGGGTTGATGATGACTCGGCCGCCTCGGATTATATGGATGTTAGTGGTTTTAGTGAAGATCTCGAACAGGGCATGGTCTATTTCAATCATCGTATATCGGAGTTTGAATGTGAAATATGACATTAGGAGAACTGATCCCTCTCTCTCTCTCTCTATTTAACCCTGCTTAACTTTCACTTTATTCTATATATAATTCTTCACCCTCCCTCCCCCCTCATTTTCATCAAGTGCTCTTAGCAGTATTATTTTTAAAATTTTTCTTGTATTTTGGTTGTCTTGGCTTTCAAAGTGCTAAAGATTTTTGTATAAAGAAAATTGGTTTTTTTGTGAAAAAGGTGCTTTAAAGAAAACGTTTAAAATAGTATAGAAAATATTATGGAATTTGCTGCAAATGATTCGGCAACAATTTCATGATTAATGTAAATAATAGTGTATTTTTCTTAAATAATGATTTATTAGTTAAGTTATATTATTTTTTTTTTTTAAATAAAATAAACGAAATTTGTCAATATGATATTACGAATTATGTATATGGTCTTTCAAGCCAATAATTCCATATTATCATTAACTATATTACTCAACTAAATTTATTTTAAAGAATATTCTAATAAATTCTGTGTTATTAATTTCAAATTATCTTAAGGTTTTGCGAATTAAAAATTTTTCGAACAAATTAAATTTTCTTCTCCCCTGGTCCTTCGAAGCCATTTTTAACAGTTAATGACAAATTTTGTTCTTGTAATTTTTTTTTATTTAATTTTCTTTTTAGTTTTCTAGTCTTTATTTTTTGTCTTTTAATTTTCTCGATTTGTAAATTATATGTTTAAATTTGGCTTTAATTTTTTATTTTATATTTAATTAAATAATTATTTTATGTTTTGTAATTATATATTTTTTGCACTGTTTAAAGTTTATTATTAGAAGATTTTGTAGCATGTAAATAATTAAGTTTTTTTTTTCTAATAATTTTACTTATGTATGTGTGTATATTGTATTACAAATACCAAGTATTTAATTAACAAATTGTTTATAATCATCACTGTGTTTATATGAAAAATAAATTTCCATTTAGTAGTTTTAATACAATTTTTAAATTTATTTATAAAATTTAAAACCTTAAACAACATTTATGATATTTTTCTTTGCAATTAAGTAATAAAATTGTATACGTACTGAATTAAATAAATGAAATATAATAAACCCATTTTAATTCTTTGTATGAACTTGGAATGAAACCGGATGCAGCGATAGCTTAACAATATATCGCGTATTACTATAGACGATACTATAGACTAGACTGTAGACTAGAGTAGAATATCGACTTGATTCACTACTAGACTATAGACTTCATTATGGAGTATTAAACTGTATACCAGACTATAGACTAGACTTTAGAATAAATTTTAGACTATAGTATAGAGAAGACTATTGAATAGACTATATACTCCCATATAGACTATACTTTAGACTAGACTATGGACTAAAACATATACTATATATTAGACTATGTAGTAAACTATAGATTAGAATATAGACTAGACTACAGAAGAGACTATAGACTATAGACTAGACTATAGACTAGACTATAGACTAGACTATAGACTAGACTATAGACTAGACTATAGACTAGACTATAGACTAGACTACAGACTAGACTATAGACTAGACTATAGACTAGACTATAGACTAGACTATAGACTAGACTATAGACTAGACTATAGACTAGACTATAGACTAGACTATAGACTAGACTATAGACTAGACTATAGACTAGACTATAGACTAGACTATAGACTAGACTATAGACTAGACTATAGACTAGACTATAGACTACTATAGACTAGACTATAGACTAGACTATAGACTAGACTATAGACTAGACTATAGACTAGACTATAGACTAGACTATAGACTAGACTATAGACTAGACTATAGACTAGACTATAGACTAGACTATAGACTAGACTATAGACTAGACTATAGACTAGACTATAGACTAGACTATAGACTAGACTATAGACTAGACTATAGACTAGACTATAGAACTAGACTATAGACTAGACTATAGACTAGACTATAGACTAGACTATAGACTAGACTATAGACTAGACTATAGACTAGACTATAGACTAGACTATAGACTAGACTATAGACTAGACTATAGACTAGACTATAGACTAGACTATAGACTAGACTATAGACTAGACTATAGACTAGACTATAGACTAGACTATAGACTAGACTATAGACTAGACTATAGACTAGACTATAGACTAGACTATAGACTAGACTATAGACTAGACTATAGACTAGACTATAGACTAGACTATAGACTAGACTATAGACTAGACTATAGACTAGACTATAGACTAGACTATAGACTAGACTATAGACTAGACTATAGACTAGACTATAGACTAGACTATAGACTAGACTATAGACTAGACTATAGACTAGACTATAGACTAGACTATAGACTAGACTATAGACTAGACTATAGACTAGACTAAGACTAGACTATAGACTAGACTATAGACTAGACTATAGACTAGACTATAGACTAGACTATAGACTAGACTATAGACTAGACTAGACTAGACTATAGACTAGACTATAGACTAGACTATAGACTAGACTATAGACTATAGACTAGACTATAGACTAGACTATAGACTAGACTATAGACTAGACTATAGACTAGACTATAGACTAGACTATAGACTAGACTATAGACTAGACTATAGACTAGAATATAGACTGACTATAGACTAGACTATAGACTAGACTATAGACTAGACTATAGACTAGACTATAGACTAGACTATAGACTAGACTATAGACTAGACTATAGACTAGACTATAGACTAGACTATAGACTAGACTATAGACTAGACTATAGACTAGACTATAGACTAGACTATAGACTAGACTATAGACTAGACTATAGACTAGACTATAGACTAGACTAGACTATAGACTAGACTATAGACTAGACTATAGACTAGACTATAGACTAGGCTATAGACTAGACTATAGACTAGACTATAGACTAGACTATAGACTAGGCTATAGACTAGACTATAGACTAGACTATAGACTAGACTATAGACTAGGCTATAGACTAGACTATAGACTAGACTATAGACTAGACTGTAGACTAGACTATAGACTAGACTATAGACTAGACTATAGGCTAGACTATAGACTAGACTATAGGCTAGACTATAGGCTAGACTATAGACTATACTAGACTATAGACTAGACTAGACTATAGACTAGACTATTGACTAGACTATAGACTAGACTATAGACTAGACTATAGACTAGACTATAGACTAGACTATAGACTAGACTATAGACTAGACTATAGACTAGACTATAGACTAGACTATAGACTAGACTATAGACTAGACTATAGACTAGACTATAGACTAGACTATAGACTAGACTATAGACTAGACTATAGACTAGACTATAGACTAGACTATAGACTAGACTATAGACTAGACTATAGACTAGGCTATAGACTGGACTATAGACTAGACTATAGACTAAACTATATACTAGACTATAGACTAGACTATAGACTAAACTATATACTAGACTATAGATTTGACTAGACTATAGATTAGACTATAGACTTTTTATAAGACTACAGTCTAGACTATAGACTAGACAATAGAATAGATTGTATTCATACGATGGAGAGCTTAGCACTGGAAGAGTATTCGGTTATGGTTTTCATAGAGCCCAATACAGTCTTAGATTAAAACTTATCAGCTGTTTTTGCTCTAATTGCCTTCTGTCTCATATCTAAAAACAATGTATTTACGGTATGCGATAGGTCATGTCCGGTGTTTGTGTGTCGGTAACTGATATCGTTCTGTTTAAGATGCAATGTGCATTCGGTACTCATGGCTAAGCTCAGATGAATTCCTATGCAATTTTTGTTTAGTAAGCTATTAATATTGGTTACCACGAAATACTCTTTTCCTGATGATTATCTTGTACATCTTTCAGCTTAATCACCTATAACTTAATATACTGCTGAACGATTCACGGATCGCCTGCTCAATTTGGAACTAGTTAAAGGACTGTATAAGAAAATAAGTTTGTGGGTTAATAAAAACATCTTCGATATCAGTACAGTCTGCAAGAGTATAGTAAACAACCTTATTCAACGCGATTTCAATTGATCAACATAAGCATGTTGATTATATTTCAGGACTTTGTCCGATATTCTAATTTCATTTATCCCAGCAAAAACTAGATAAAAAATTTTTAACTCCATATAAGTAGTTAATGGTAAGTAAGTACTTAACTCCAATGTCATAATCGTTTTAAAATAAAGAGTTAAAATGGTAGCGAAAAGAGTTTTATTAGCTTTTAAACTTCTTACTTTTCAATATAAGTTCTTCCTGGGTGTCTGAATTTACTTAATATTTTAAACTAGTGAATTGTATAAATTTTTTTCTTTTAATAAATCGCCTGAAACTATGCTAAAATACTCATATAATTTTTAAAATATTAACAATTTCGTGTAAACCAAAGATGCCAGACTGCTGCAAGAGGAAGTAAATAACTACCAAAAGTAAAATTTAACATAGCATACAAAAACACATTAATAATGCAACAAATATTTATTATGCAGCTTGAGCAATTTGCCATTGAAATTTTCACACATACAAATTACTTTAAACAAAAAACAAAAACAGTCTCATATCAGAAATGAAAAATAAGACAAAGAATCTCATTTTTTTTAACTCGTCACAAAAAAACCTTTTCCTATACAAGATTTTTTTGCTAGACAATTGATTGATGATCGCCGTGGTTGTTGGTCGCTGTATGAGTTACAAAAAGCAATTAGTTAAAATATGTTTTTAATATTTTTCCCCTGTTTATAATAATAACAACAATAATATCATAATGTCATGTATGGTAGTCAGTTAGTGAGACAAACTGTCTCACATGAAATGGCTTTGAAATTATTGTGGTCTTAAGATGTTTTTCCTTTTAAACTAAACGGTATGTGCACTATTATGCTCTTTTATCTTTAATAAACTAATTTTAGTTGTAATGTCATAATAACTGCAAAAGTTGCGCATTCGAATGAAAGTTCAAGAGTAAAATTGGAAGAGGAAATACAATTTTAAAATGCTGTAACTATTTATGCTAATAACATTATTAACTAAATGATAATTATGTTGTTTAAAGAACATTTATGAACTAGAGAATATTATATAGACTAGAGACTAGACTATGGACTAGGATATAGACTAGACTACATACCATACTTAAGATTAGACTATAGACTAGACTATAGACTAGACTATAGACTCGACTATAGACTAGACTATAGACTAGACTATAGACTAGACTATAGACTAGACTATAGACTAGACTATAGACTAGACTATAGACTAGACTATAGACTAGACTATAGACTAGACTATAGACTAGACTATAGACTAGACTATAGACTAGACTATAGACTAGACTATAGACTAGACTATAGACTAGACTATAGACTAGACTATAGACTAGACTATAGACTCGACTATAGACTAGACTATAGACTAGACTAGACCTATAGACTAGACTATAGACTAGACTATAGACTAGACTATAGACTAGACTATAGACTAGACTATAGACTAGACTATAGACTAGACTATAGACTAGACTATAGACTAGACTATAGACTAGACTATAGACTAGACTATAGACTAGACTATAGACTAGACTATAGACTAGACTATAGACTAGACTATAGACTAGACTATAGACTAGACTATAGACTAGACTAGACTAGACTATAGACTAGACTATAGATAGACTAGACTATAGACTAGACTATAGACTAGACTATAGACTAGACTATAGACTAGACTATAGACTAGACTATAGACTAGACTATAGACTAGACTATAGACTAGACTATAGACTAGACTATAGACTAGACTATAGACTAGACTATAGACTAGAACTATAGACTAGACTATAGACTAGACTATAGACTAGACTATAGACTAGACTATAGACTAGACTATAGACTAGACTATAGACTAGACTATAGACTAGACTATAGACTAGACTATAGACTAGACTATAGACTAGACTATAGACTAGACTATAGACTAGACTATAGACTAGACTATAGACTAGACTATAGACTAGACTATAGACTAGACTATAGA